AAGTTTTTTGAACTTTCATTTGGAGCACCCAATACTCCCATTAAGGGGCACATTTCCAGAGGCAGGATACAAGGCTAGAAAGACCACTGGTCTGCTCTTCCTTAGACATAGACACTGGACTAGATTAGCACACTGCCTAGTGGCAAAGTAAATTTGTATTTAACAGTTTTCTTTACAATTTTCAGTCATTTTAAAAATGATTTTAAACAGGAAAAATAGCCACTTTTCAAAAACTGCTTTTATAAAACCCTGCTTCAGCAAGGTATGTAAGCATGCATCTAACTTCACTCACACTATTAGTCCCATCACATTCATTGGAGCTGTTCCTATACTTAGTGTTAAGGACATAATCATGTGCCTTGCTGAATCAGGGGCTTAGTGGTCAAGCAGTAGTGTTCTACCATGCTCTGTGAGAGACACCAGGCCCATCTACACATGCAATTAATGCACCTGAATTTTCTGTGCAGAAAATTCAGGCTCATTAAAGCACTCCCCAGCACACAGCTACACATGCGCCCCTGTTGGGAGCAAATTGAGACCTACAGGAACAGCCCAGTCAAGGGCTGCTCCTGCCCTGCTCTGCCCCACAGCAGCTCCAGGCTCCCCCAGATGTATGGCCCAGGTTGGCAGAGGACACACATGGGCTTAGCCCCGAGCTCTGGAGGACAGAAGGAAGCTGTCAGCTCCGTCCCAGTCAGGAGGAGAGATCGGGCAGCCCCACCTCATTCCCCTGTCCCAATCTCCACATGGTTGGGAGGCAACTGTCCACCCAGCTGGGACAGCTCTCCCAACCATGTGAAGATTGGGACGAGTCTTGATTTCCACATGCCTGGCAGGCAACATCCTGCCAAGCTGGGACAGCTATACCCCGCTGTAGCCCTTTGCTGCCTAGGCTGACAGGGAACAATTTGCTCCTGGTCAGCATCTATACATGCAGTACAGTGCATTAATTAATGCATCAGTTTTCTAGTACCTGTATTTACAGGTACTAGAAAATGGTGCATTAGACTAATACACTGCACAGTAATTGCTGCACAAGTGTAGAAGTTGACACTTTACTAGGCACATCTACATGAGACACTAACTGCATAGTAGCCTAATAACACTGTGCAGTAGTACGTCACAGCATGGATAGTGCTAATCCACTACTGCACAGTATTATTAGGCTACTGTGCAATAGTGTCACTAAAAAGACATTTGCTGGCTCTACTGTGCAGTAACTCTGGTTGCTGTGCATTTATTTAGTACTAAGTTAAATGTGCAGTAACCACTGGACATTAATGAACATATAAATGTGCCCACTGTACATTAAATTATTCTAATGTGCAGTAAAGCATCTCATGTAGATGTACCCAGTACTTCAACTACTGAGCTATCCAGGATACTAGATACTCCAGACACAGCACTGTTGGCCTGTGGACTAAAACTAGTGTTTGATGGGATGCCACTCAACAGTATACTTTTTCAGATAATTTAAAGTATGATTATTTTGAGTGACTGCAAAAAGAGTCCCAAGTAGCCCTTCTAGCCATGAAAATGGCAGCCACAAACACTACAAATGAGACTAGACAAAGGAAAGAAAGATCTCCAAAACTTTAGCAGTGATGTACAGGAACCCACAATGCAAGAAAGCATGCTTCATAATAACCATTGTAGTTAAACAGTACTAATATATATAACTCTTATCTCTCTACATACTGTGAAAGATCATTTACATTATTAAAGAACTTCAGCCAAGATATGCAAACACAGGTGGGTCTCAATCTATATTTAACCACCTTCTTGGTTTTCCGAACTGGTGAACAGACACAAGTTCCCACTGAGGGCAACAGAAACTGTTGCTCTGCTCTTTCAAAAATCAGGCATGTGCTTGGGGTTTGGAGCCTCACAAACTTCAGACTTTTAAATTCTTGGCTCTCTGCTTTACTTTTGTTAAGTGATGAATGTGTTCACCATGAGACTGTTATTAATTCAATCTGTAGACTAGCTCTTAGCTGTTTAAAATAAAGTAAATATTGAAGATCTAATAATCAGATACTGCATGTGCACAATCACTGTGTTCACAATTTATGTATAACCATTTCAACAGATGTAGGTTATGAATAGATATAGTACACTGTGGCATATCATGTCACAGGAAACATATAATGATAATGACTCTTTAGGATGGTATATTACAGATCATAACACCTCTTTTAAATTCACTGTATTCTGTATAATTATATGGTGTTTAAGTTTGCCTTTACATGATTATGTCCTCTGGCTCTGCAAGTATTGTTATAGTCAGTCTTTTAAATGTTGTTAAAAATAGGTGTTTCATCCCTGTCCTCTTTTACTATTAAACATAATAACACCTAATAAAGTTGAAACAAAACAACCATGGGCCTAACTATCTACATATAAAGGCCTAATTTAATCCCATGTATTTTTGTTTATGAATAGATGGGTCCTTGGTTTATCCTATCACATGGTATAATGGCGTGGTCTGGCAAAGATCATATAGTAATAAGGTGTGCCATAGGTACATACATAGTTAAGATGAATTAAGGTTACAGGACCAGATTCAGAGTTCCATTGTGTTAATCCAGACTTGTACTGATGTAACTGGGATCAGACTAAACTAGAATAGCTACTAGAATATTAAATTTCTTTGCTTTTACAGTGTTAAGTAGGACCATCAGCTTTATTTGCACCTAAGTTTTTTTTTCCTGTTGTAATATTAGGTTAATGAACAGCATCTGAAAGGAAATATGTCAGACATGGTGGTTACATCAAGGGCTGTGTAGGGAAATAGTAATGAACCCTAGGAAAATAAATAAGGGCAAGTTCAGGAAACATAAGTGAAAATGCAGCTCTGGTATAAATTGAATAATAAAATTCTTGGTCATATTTTGCCATAAATAGTGGTTTGGGAATTTGTCATTCACCTTATTTAAAATTCAGAAATATTAAAGGTACAGGGTTCTCTCATTACAGAAATAATAGAATTCTGGCTATTACAGAGTTAGGGTAATTTAAATAGCTATAGAATGCATTATATCAATAAGTGGAACATCTGTATGAAATGTCCACCTGCTGATATACTACTCAATGTACTTTACAATGAAATGCACTTAATCATTTTAAGACTCCATCTAATGAAGCCCTATCAGGATTAACATTTTGAACACAAATACTTTTAGGCATTAAAACTCCCGCTCTAAATGAGATTGCATTGTCTTGTTTACCCTTGTTGATTAATAAGCAATCTGTTAACTGTTAGAATAGTTCAATTGTGCCAGTGAAAGTAGATTAGTAATTCAGTTATGTTTGTGGATATAATCAGCATTTTTTCTTGAAGGCTTTGAATTAAAAAATCACTTATACACTATCTGTTGGCAATGGAAAGATATATATTTTAGATGTGCATTCTACTATTTTGCTCCAGTTACTCAGCTTAGGGACACTGTACAAGCACAAATGCTTCTTGGACAAAAATTTTGGAAGTACATGGTTTCTAAGCAGATCTTCCTTGTTTTTAAGCCAAAGTGACAGGACCATCCAGAATCTTAAATAACTTTTTTTAAAGAATATTGTGGCTTTCTTAAGCAAATTTAGAAGGGAGCACCCAAATAAGTTATCACTCTTTTTCAGACATTGGTATTTATTAAAAGCTTTGAAAGCTGTGGTGACTTTATTTTAATTCTTCTAATATATATTAACTGGAAATTAAAAACAAAATGAACTCTCTTTAATAGAGTTGATAGTTGAGATTTTTCTCACAGGTCATGCACTTTTTTTGTGGCGTCCAGCGGAGGGAAACAGATGTTGCCAGGTTACAATTCATGTTAGTTCTTACATATGGAACATAGTCCTGCATGGAAGAGCATAATGCCAGGAGTAGCACAAACCCCACGTAGGAATCATGTACTAGATCCCAGCATGCTGTAAAAGGTAGATGGCCAGGAGCAAGACTGAAGCAGTCATCCTCCAACATTTGTGCCAGATGCTCTCACCCACATTCTAGGCATTCCTGTAAAGACTGTTGCAAGTTAAAGCTATCCTCATTCAGTGTTGAATGTGTAGATGCAGGTGTAGGGTATAGCATTTGAAAATACTATAATGGACCCATTATCATATAGAGAAGAGTAGCTAAATCTTGCCCTGCATAGATGGGAAAAATGTTTCTCAATTCAGGCATGGGAGATAAACAACTTACACTGTTATCACCTGCAATTGTACAGGTTTTCAGAGTACACATAGCATTTTTGGACCTCAACCAATAGTTCCTGACCTCAGCCAAAGGCTTGTTGATTAGCTTGAATTGTACAATAAAGTACAAATTACAAACTATTTTGGTGATGAAATACAGTGGTTGTCATTAAATGTTTATAATTTCAGACATAGACAGTATTACAAGAGTATTCCTATGCTTATTTACAGGGCATAAAATATCCTAGAAATCTTTTATAAGTTGTTAAGATTTCAACCACTTTCCTTCCCTGTTGCATGGTTTTCCTCAGGAAGAGGCTGCATGATCTATAACGGTTAATGGTTCTTCCAAGAAATGTATTTTTCTACATTTTGATTTTCTAAATTTGCACTGATTATAGCTATGAGTAACATTTTGTTTGGGTTTTTTTCCCGAGAAGAATCTTTAAATCCTTTTTAAAATTTTTGAATGACTAGATGTCAGCGTAATAATTAATTTTCACAGACACAACCCACTGGAATACATGAGTGAAACTCTGTTATATAATCCATTCAGCATCATTGAGGCAGTTAGCTACATATGGTATTCGTTGGCAGAACACTTAAGGTAGCCTTGGAACCTCATGTCTATTATTATTATTATTATTATCATCTGAATTCATCATTAAGCGTTGATATTAAGTATCAGGGAAACAATGAGTAGGAAACAGAAATTTTGTCAGAAGAAAATGGAACATTTAATTAAGAGTTCACTTTATAGATCATAGATGACACTATACTGATACCTGTCATCTTTCTCTCTCCTGCAGTCTCTTTGTTGTGAGATCAAACAGAGGCGCCGTGGGGTAGCCTCTGTGTTGCGATTATGCCAACACCTCCTGGATGACCAGGAGACCTGCAATCTGAATGCAGATCACCAGTCTATGCAGCTGATAATTGTAAATCTTGAAAGAAGGTGGGAAGCTATTGTCATGCAAGCTGTCCAGTGGCAAACCAGACTACAGAAGAGGTTGGGGAAAGATCCAGTGAGTAATGTTTGATTTAAAATGACCTAGTGTCGTTTAATTTTTCACATGGAAGACATTTTGTTTTGGTGGTAGGCAAACGCATCAATCTTACAGTGAATTTTCTGACTGAAGATGCTGTCCTCAATTCTTACAACCAACAAAGTATTAATTTTCTCAAAGCTGTGTTTTTATAGGCATGTGTGATTAATAAGATAAATTCATAATATACTTGTTCTCTTTGATAGACTGTTAATCTGACAGTACCTGCTCTTATCAAGTACTAAGTACATTCTGCTCCTGTGCAAATCAGCCTAAGACAAGTTACTCATAATCTAGTAGGCTGGGACCCATAATAATTTTTCAGTGACTATAAAAATATAGTTTAGAAAAGTTCCTTATTCTGTGAGTAATGTTTTTGATCTTTTTAAAATCAAGGATATGTACTCATTTGTTTTAATTGAAGGGAACAATTCCCAAGAAGCAAAATATTTTATTGCTTAAATCAGGGCTGTCCTACTGATGACCCATGAGCACGTCATGGCCAATGGAGCCAACAATTCTGTGGTGGAGCAAGTGGTGGCAGGGTTATCCCCTGTAGTTGCCAAAGTCTCTGTTTCAGTGTAGCTAGCACCTGTGGGGTTAATGCCACAGAATTTCCCTGTTAAAACCCCCACTGGGGACAACTTTCAGTGGCAGGGCAAATGTTGGCTTACAGTGGTCAACACTGCTGCTGCCACTGATGATGCATTGTCTGTCCTGTGAGAAGCCCTGTGGTCTGGATCCAGCCTGCCAGTCCAAATGAGTTGAACAGCCCTGGCTTGAATCATCAGTTGAGTAGTATAAATTAGACAGGCTTCCTACAATACAAAGACATATTGCAATGTAGTATGTATACTTAAACAATAAACTGTTTGGGTAAAAGGCATCTCTACTGTAACTTTATGGACTGCAATAGTTGAATTGGCCCAGCATGTTCTCTAGTTTCATGTACTTTAGTATTATGATAGTATTTACAGCACAGATGTAATGGTAATATCGTTAGGCTGCAAACAGACATTCCATTTATCACAGAATCAACCATTTTATCCCAGGGCAAAGTGCAGTTATACAGACATCCACGTCCATTGTCCTGGGATAAATCCTAAAAAGGTTTGCCGAATAAAAAGTACTAATAGTTTATCCTGAGATACTGCAAAGTATATCTGTACAGCTATCCTGGGATTGCATCATTTGATCAATGGTAGAAGAATGGAACTGCATTCAGCTGCTCACTAAACCCTGATTAGAAGGGCAGTGTACATACACACCAATCCCAGGATATTTTTTGTTCTAGGACAAACACAGCCACAACTTTTTTAGAGATAAATACAATGTCTGTTTCTAGCTTAAGAGCCTCATTAAGATTCGAAAATGAATGACATATTTTAGCTCATGTCATTTTTAGGTCTATAGTAAATAAGTACAAAGAAAAATATTCTTGAAACCTACCCTGTCCTTCTTTGACAATAAAAAATAGCAAAATAAAACTTTTTGTTGTTATTCTTTATATTATTGGAGTACCCCAAAGTACCCAAAATGTATTATGGGTTCTACAGACAACATAGGAAGTAATTTCCACAAATTGCTGATTTAATTGTCTAAAAAGACCAGTAGAACGGTGTAGTGGAAAAGGATGCAGCACAGAATCATAGTGCTTGGGATGATGATAGGCTGCATTTTGTTATTTATATGTCATTTTTTTTAAGTGACAGAAGGCAGGGTAGAGATGCACCTTATCAATTAACTAAATCAGAGATGCATAAGCTGAGATGCATGTTCATCTCTGATTCAGTTAGTCTATACATGCATCTCTTTCCTGCCTTCTGTTTGATTTCAGACTAACACAGTTAAAAGATACAGAACCATCCACATATGCCTCTCTGCCTAGCCATTTGTCAGTTGGGTAATTATGGATAGGTATTGCAGTGGAATTGGGATTTAAGGAAAGATATGAATGGGGCTTTTGAACCAACTCAGAAGAGGCGTACCGTTGCAAACAATACAATAGAAATAGAAGAAAGTAAGGGACGCAGTCATTGGAGAGATAGAGTGGTAAAGTGGTTCTGGTGGGCAGTGAAAGAAATAGTACAGGTACGTTGTAGGTGTACAATCTACAGGTACAGTGTCATGCAAGTCTTTGACGGTAAATATAAGAAACTTCAATGTGGTAACAGCAAAGATGATGATCTTTGTGGATACTTTTTATGGTCTTAAGGTACGGATAATATGCTTGGCAAAGACACATCAGAGGAGATTACTGAGAATGATATAAGAGATGAAAAAGGCTGAACAAGAATCTATGTAGATGGTTGAACTAAATGGCCATTGAGGGCCTTTCAAACTCTGTAATTCTTTGAGTCTTTCTAACCAAAAAGAAATAGCCACATCTTTAAAATGTGGTTGAGAAGGGAGTCTCCTGCCATTGAGTGTGAAAAAGGATGGCATTGTGTTCAACAGTTACAGTGAATGAGGAAGTGGGGAAATAGGGTGATCTGAGGCAGAAGGACCAGGAGTTCAGTTTATACCATTTTTAGTTTAGGAGAAAATGTCTGATAGAAAAGATGTAGGATTAGATGGTAGGAGAAAATATGGGATAAGGATTGATTTGTGAATCATTAGTTTAGAGGTATCAGCTGAAAGCAAACAAGCAGATGCAAGCCCCCAAAGGAGAAGGGGCCAAAGGTAGAGCCCTGTGGAACTCTCATTCATGGAAGGAGAGGGACCTGACAAATTCAGCACTGAAAGAAGGCCAGAGAGGAGGGAGAAGAATTGGGACAGCATGATATCGCAAAAGGTAGGGAGGACAAAATGATGAGAAAGATTGTCTGAAGTAGTAACTTTAAAGGGCATCAACAGTGTCAAAAGCAGTATAGGGATAGAGGTCATAATACACAGAAACAAGCCAGTCAAATATTTAGTGAAATCAGTTTCAACAAAGTTGAAGCCAAAAAACAAATCAGAAAGGGTTTAGGATGGTGTTAAGTGAGCAGAAATCAAGGCAGCAGTTGTAGATGGCTCACTTAAGGAAGGGAAATAAGAGACAAAGAGACAAATAGGGCTGGAGGCATCTTAGTAATACGAAAGAAATTCATATTTTGAGAGAAATTAATCTGAGTGAGTATTGAGGTTGAGAATAAAAGCCAGGGATGTCCACAGTGAAAGTAAGATGGAGCAAGAAGGCACATGGATGGGTTTTGAAAAGGAGAGGTAGTGGCAGAGAAGAAAGAGAAGAGGGCATTGGAGTGGGAAAGAAAGATTGTGGTAGAATTTTTCAAGCTTCTCCTGGAAAAATTGGGTTAAGGGCCCATGATTTTATGACACCTTCTCTACTATTTGTAATATTTTTGTAATTGCTCCCACTCCAAGTAATGTTAGGTGGGTTTATTATTATTTTTCTCTCTGTCTTTTTAAATTGTAACAGCCCTAAGAAGCCATTATTTAGTACTATGGTGTACGACTAGCTTGTTGAGCTGATTTGAGTTTGAGAAACTATCTGTAGCTTGGGAGCTATGACAACAGTTGTTGTCTTATGGCTTGTGGCAGGGACCAGACACACTTTAAAAAATAAAAATCTTGAATTTTGGTTGCTAACAGCCGCTGCAATGGGAGTATAATAGCCAGAAAAAGACTGAAGTGGATTTCTGTTATATTTCACTGAGATACGAACTGTCACAAAAAGACTGAACTCGATTTTTTATTTTCTGCTGAACCTTAGAGTAGCAAGCATAGCTGTTCTCTTCTGCCTCGAGCAGGAGCAAGATACAATTGTGAGACATCCTGGAGGCTACTGAACAGGGGTCCAAGTTACTGCAGTAAGAGCATATTCTCTTTTTCTCCATGTGGGCAGCTGCTGCATGTAAGCAGTTTGCTGTTTGGAGCGGCAGTTACTTTAAATAAACTGTGATGTGCTAATTAGAGTTTGGCACTGCTGTTGCAGCAGGAATGAAGTGAGTCTGTGCCTCTGTTTGGGATCGGAATAGATTGGGAGTTGAGGTAGAGAGAGTGTACAAGTGCTGTGTGTTGCTTGATGTCAGGATGCCATAGAACTTCACAAGCTGCATGCTGCTTTGTTCCCACTTTGCCTCAGGGAAGCTGGACTTGTTTGCAGGACTGAGTTGTCTTTCATTGGGTAGTGTGTATACCTTTTTCTCTCTTGAGAAATGTCAGCCATTAAAAACTATCAAGAGGCTCATCTAATTTTTATTCTGGGTAGTATTTTGTTTTGGGGTCACACATTTTTATATTTCTTTAGACTGTGATTCTCGGAAGCATAGCAATATCTACATGGTCCTCATACGGGGGAGGGATATATAAATATATGTGTGTGTGTGTGTGGGGGGGGGGGGGGGGTGTATATACACACACAAATATGTGGACCGTGTAGATATACACACATATCTATATTTGAATTCACAGCATTTGAAAGATGCCTCAATCACAGTAGAATTCAGATTTCCTCATCTTCCCCGGTCCTGGGTTGGCACATTATATTCTTTCCTTTCACTCAGTTCCTGTGTAGTCATTTCTTGGGCTGGTCCCAAGATTGTTTCCTCTGCTTCCCCCATCTCTCTACACTTGATGGTGTGCCAGTCTTGGCACATGCATGGTATCCCCTGGTAACAAGTCTTTATTTGTGGTTGCCCACAATATACTGTAATTTATGAAAACAAATTAGATGTTTTTATACCCCTGATGGCATCTGACTCACTGATGGCATCCGACTCACTGAAAGTATATAAGATAGCCCAGCTGATCATGTTGCCTGTCTTAGAGAAGTACAGGAGTTGCATGTATCTTCCATTCTCCTTTTAATTTGTACACTAACATCTTCCTTTGCCTTCCTTCCCTTCCTTATTACTGTTAATCCTTTATTTTTGTTGCTTACCACATTCCAAAGATATGTGGGAAATAATTATAAGGGATTTGCAGGTTTCTCTCATATTATTTTCCTTATTTGATGACTTAAAAAAAATCTTTTG